AAGGTGTGCCAGATTATCATCAAGCCCTCCTAGAGGTGAGTGCATGACAGACTGTGCAGAGGCAGGGCTGGCAGGAGGGAGGTTGAAGTCCCTTAGGCAGGGGTTCCAGGACTGGCCTGGCTAAAGCATGAAAGAGCTGGCAGGACTGAGACTCAGCTCAGGGCTCGGAACTAAGTTACAGCAAGGCCTAGGTCTCGTCTTTGTAGGGAGATAGCCTCAGGCCTGGATCTAGAGGCCAGGCCCTAACATCTTCTCTGGGGACAGTTCCGTAGGACAGCCCTGCACCGAGCCTCCCTGGAGGGCCATATGGAGATCTTGGAGAAGCTTCTGGAGAGTGGGGCCACTGTGGATTTTCAAGACCGGGTGAGAGAGAGGGCAGGTATTGGGTGGGAGGGTGGAGGTGGGTCCAACACCAATAGAACCCCTCTCCCTGCCAACCCTGGACAACTGCAACGTAATAGACTACTCAGACCAGGCCTCGATCTCTTTGGGTTCTGTGACATTGTGTAAGCCCAATCTCCCTCCTGAGCATCCTCTGTAACTCTGGCTTGGATGGGATAGGCCATGATTAGTCTTCCTGGAGTGTCTATGCCCATCCCTTGTACCTTTCTGCTAGGTGTTCCCCTACCCTTTGGGCTGGGAGTCCTTTCTCCATTTCCTGCAGCTCTGCCATTCTTCCCTTCTAGTTGGATTGTACCGCCATGCACTGGGCCTGCCGTGGAGGCCATTTGGAAGTCGTGAAACTCCTGCAAAGCCGAGGGGCAGACACCAATGTGAGAGATAAGGTGGGACAAGCAATGCCCAGGTACAAGAGACATGGAGGGGGTTGTGGGGAGGGGGAAGAAATTTCAGGTAAGCGCTGGTGGTAGGAAAGTAGTGGTGAGTTAGTCTAGAGTTTCAGCTGCAAAGTAGCTGCAGGCCCTTAAGGGACCTGCTCTGGAGGTCAGAGCAGGAAGAACAGAGGATGGAAAAGAATAGAAGACATGATGTTGGCAACACGGAAGAAATAGTTGTACTGTCAAAGCTTGTAGAATTCACAAATATAGACCAAGATAATGACAGTTTGCCTTGTGAAGGTTAAATTGTGTTTGTAACTTTAAACATCACTATCCTGCAATACTGTGAAATTGGTGAGATTTATGTAATCCTTTAGTCCCAATAAAATTATTATTAAAAAAGACAGTTTAAAGCCAGAAGTGGCGCTGTGGCTCAAGTGGTAGAGCGCTAGCCTTGAGCTGAAGAGCTGAGGGACAGGGCCCAGGCCCAGAGTTCAGGCCCCACGACCAGACCAAAAACAAAACAAAACAAAAAAAAAGCAGTATGTTGGAGACTTGAGGCCCCATCAGAAGTACAGGATTTTTTTTTTTTTTTGGGTCCGGTCGTGGGGCCTGAACTCTGGGCCTGGGCCCTGTCCCTCAACTCTTCAGCTCAAGGCTAGCGCTCTACCACTTGAGCCACAGCGCCACTTCTGGCTTTTTTCTTTTTGCTCATGTGGTGCTGAGGAATCGAACCCAGGGCCTCAGGCATGCAAGGCAAGCGCTCTACCACTGAGCCACCTTCCCAGCCCCAGAAGTACAGGATTTATTTACCCATTCAGTCCTCCATCAGCCTTCTATATTTCTGTTTATCTACTTCTCCATCCACTCATTTTTTTCATTTATTTGTCCATTTATTAATCTATCATCCACCCATCGATCCATCCATTCATACATTATGAATAAGTACCTAAGCTTCTGAGCCTCCATTCCTCATGTATAAAATGTTTCACAGAGTTCTTGCGTAGATTAAGTGGGAAAGTGTATGCAAATTAGTTACTTACTCAACATAAAGCTTTTGCCATTCCCATCACATGGTCATCTCTCAATAAATAGCATCTATTATAATTATTTTAAAAAGAAGTGCTTTGTTGAATGGCAACTCCTTTGTATAACTAAAGGTAATAATAATAAAATGAAGGTTTGACTGGGACTGGGACTCAGTGGTAAAGTGCTTGCTTAGTATGTGCAAGTTTCTAGGTTTTCTCTCTGTCATATGATGATGATGATGATGATACAGAAGGAAACAGTTGCTCATAGCTGGATGAGAGGGAAACCATGACTGGCTTCCAGAGGAAGCATTCAGGGCAAGTTTGAAGCTTTACAGTTAGGGCACTGGATAGGATGGTGGGAAATGCTGCCATTCCCTCCCATTTTAGGGCCCAGGACTCGGGAGGGGGATTAAGCTGGCATGGGGGCAGCCTTCACACTAGGGCACCCTAGTCCAACCCCCTCTAACTGCAGCTCCTCTTCCCTCCAATGCAGCTGCTGAGCACTCCCCTGCATGTGGCTGTCCGTACTGGACATGTGGAGATTGTGGAGCACTTTCTATCCCTGGGCTTGGACATCAATGCCAAAGACAGAGTGAGCGCCCACCTACCTCCCTGCTGCTTGCCACCACCACCCTGGGTGTATGGGCAACTCAAATGATGCCACAAGTGGGTGAATGGTACTTCCTTGTGGGATCACAGAATTGTAGCTTGTGAATAAGGTCCCTAGCCCACTTCCTGTCAACCAGCTCCCCACCCACTGTCCCTAAGGGCCATGCTGAGTGCTACATTGACTCTAGGAAGGAGACAGTGCCCTGCACGATGCTGTAAGGCTCAACCGCTACAAAATCATCAAGCTGCTGCTTCTGCATGGGGCTGACATGATGACCAAGAACCTGGTGAGTTCATTCCTTCCCTGATTCAGTAACTAGAGTAAAACCTTGCACAGTGGAAGGTCTGGAGGCCCTGGGGCAGCCTCTGCCTCAGCCATCATTTCATTGGCTCCGACCTTAAGCACAGTACAGGCACGTGTCTTCCATTCTAACCCCACTTCTCCCTACCCATGTCAATGTCCAGAGTACTACACGTAGGGAGAAACAGCAGGAGGGCCAGTAAGAGGGCTTCCTGTAAGCCCTTAAGATAGGCCAAAAAGGATCCTAAGGGGGTAGACACAAGGAGACCAATGTCATGGAGGGACAGGGCTTGAAGGAATCAAAACACTTGCAATGTCCATGACAACACTGTGTTGGTTCCTGGCAGTCCTTGAGTTTTGAAAGGATCAGTGTCCCTTGAAGCTTAAAATCTTCCTTTTGAGGACCAGGTCTCTTGGCCCTAGTCTTTCTTTGGGGCCCAAAGCAGTCACACAAGACAGGGGCATAGGAATCCCTAAAGGGATGCCAGGAAAAGCAATAGAACTCTCAGAGTGTGGATGTTCATCAAACTCAGCACTATGACTGGAGGCTGGAGAATTCTTGGTTGGGGTGGGGGCTGTCCTGTGCCTGGTAGGATGTCCAAGCAGCATCCCTGGCCTTTGCCCACTTGATAACAGTAGCACCTCACACCCCACCCCTGATATGACCACCAAAATGGCTTCACCCCCTGGTCAGTTGCCTCAGTGGAGAATCATTGGTATAGTTGAAGGCACCTTTGGGTAGACTTCAACCCAGGAATAGATCTCCTTGTGGTTCCCCTCAGGCAGGAAAGACCCCCACAGACCTGGTGCAGTTGTGGCAGTCTGACACCCGGCATGCTCTGGAGCATCCTGAGCCAGAGTCAGAGCAGAATGGATTTGAGGGACCTGCGAGTGGACGAGAGACTCCCCAGCCTGTACCAGCTCAGTAAATGCCTGCCCTAACTCCTTCATCCTCTGGGTGCAGCCAGATGGTCCTAGAGTGATCCTCAGACCTAATGGGACCTAACCACTCTTCTGTGAGGTCCAGAAACACTCACAGATTAGCACAATAAAAAGTTGGTTTTGCTACTTATGATGCTGTCTTTCATTTGTGTTCCAAATATTTAAGAATAAAAGCTAGGGGCTGGGAAGGTGACTCAGTGGTAGAGTGCTTGCCTTGCATGCATGAGGAGGCCCTGGTAAACACCACATAACAGAAAAAACTGGAAGTGGTGCTGTGGCTCAAGTGGTAGAGCATTAGCCTTGAGCCGAAGAGCTGAGGGACAGCATCCAGGCTCAGAGTTGAGGTCCCACGACCGGCAAAAATAAAATAAAAGCTAGAGCCAGGTGCCACTGGCTCATGTCTATACCCCTTGGTACTCTGGAGGCTGAGCTGTAAGGATAAGAGTTTGAAACCTGCCTGGTTAGGAAAATCCATGAGACCTTTTTTTTGTGTGTGTGTGGGTCATGGGGCTTGAACTCTGGGCCTGGGCGCTGTCCCTCAGCTCTTCAGCTCAAGGCAAGTGCTCTGCCACTTGAGCCACAGTGCCACTTCGTTTTCTGGTGGTTAATTGGAAATAAGAGTCTCACAGATGTTCCTTCCCAGGCTGGTTTTGAACCATGATTCTCAGATCTCAGCCTCCCGAGTAGCTAGGATTACAGGCTTGAGCCACCAGCACCTGGCCATGCGACACTTCAATTAACTACCAAAAAGCCTGATGTGGAGCTGTGGCTCAAGTGGTAGAACAGTAGCCTTGAGCAAAAACAGCTCAGGGACACTCCCTAGGCCTTGAATTTATGCCCCAAAACTGGCATGCAAACATGCGCATGCATGCACACACACACACAGAAGTAGAAGAAGGCTGAGGCCTAGAAAGGCTTGGGAACAGAGGGAAACTGGAACCCCTTTCTCTCCTGGGGATCTCTCTTTACTTCTTCCCTGACATTCCATTCTGTTTACTCCTCAAACTGCAAGGCACCAGGATTGGCCCTTGCATAAGTCAGCTCTGTGATAGGCCCAGCCTGTGCTCCTCTGAACTCTGCAAGAACTGTCCTAGGGAGCTGTGTGCGTCTAGCACGCCTGACCCATGGCCATCTTGGCAGTGATGCCTGGCAGGGAAGTGAAGTGTGGCTTCTCACAGCAGCTTGTCACCCAGTGTGTTGGCGCCTCCCTCCCACAGGGCAGGGGCAGGCCAGCTCAGCCAATCAGCTCCACCAGTCTCTGAACTGCCTAGAAACTGCCCACTGCTGTGTTTCCGTGTTGGGGCTGGGAACTATAGGAGGCCCAGGTCCTATCAGAAATGCCTTTTAGTGTTGGGACCCCAAGAACCAGTTTGTCTAGCAAAGATTGTGGCACTTCTGCAGCTGCTGAGAGACAGAGCATTGTGATACTTCTCCAGCTTTGCTCCAGAGGGAGGAAGGACTCCTGGGACCGCTAGGCTTTGCCTCTGACCCTGGAGGTGCCAAGCACAGGCCTGCTGTAGAGCCTACAAGTCAGGGAGCTACAAATTTTTAACAAGACACATTGATCATTAACAGAGGGTAGGAAGGAGTCCAAACTCAGCCTCTCTTGGGGACATAGACAGTTGGGTCTCCAGCCTCCTGCAGAGATGCTGGGCCCAGGAGTTTGGGCCTCTGTGAGACAGGGACTGAGCAAGGGCTTGTCCAGAAATGTGAGGGGCTGGGCCTCAGGGGTAGGGAGAAAAGTGGACATCTCTGGCACCTATCCTGCTTTGACCACCCCCTTCACTGCCACCTCGGAGATAGACTATGGCAAACTGGAGGAGAACCTGCACAAACTGGGCACCTTCCCTTTCCGAGGTAAGCGGGCCTCTCCACAGAGGCTGTGGGGAGCCAGTGTGCAGGGCAGTACATAGCCTTGGAACTTTGGAGTGAACACCTGTTTCTGTTCCCCCAGCTGGAGAGGACTAATAGCTTCCAGGGTTACTGTGGGGATCCCACTGGAAGATGGGCGGGAGTGTCTTTGTCCACACATGAGATCATGTGGTTGTGCAGCCAGGGTGGCTCTTTCCCTCTAAGCTTCCATTGCTCATTCTCTTCTGTGTGAAGCCTCCTCGCAGAGTTAGCTCTTATTGCAGGCTCCTTTGAGTCCTTTACACATGGTCTCCTTATTTATATATATATGGAGGGCTTGGGCACTGTACCTCAGCTCTTCAGCTCAAGGCGAGCGCTCTACACAGCCCCACTTCTGGCTTTTTCTACTTATAGTGGTGTTGAGGAATCCAACCCAGACCTCATGCATGCAGGGTAAGCACTTTACCACTGAGCCACCTTCCCAAGCCCCTGGTCTCCTAATTTCTAAGGTCAGAGACCAGCCTGGTGCTGGTGACGCATGCCTGCAATCCTAGCTACTTAGGAGGCTGAGATCTAAGGATCTCAGGGTTCAAATCCAGCCTAGGAAGAAAACTCTGTGAGACTTTTATCTCCAATTAACCAGAAAACAAAAATGCTGGAAGTGGTGATGTGGCTCAAGTAATAGAACACCAGCAAGCCTTGAGCATAAAAGCTAAGGGAGAGCTTAAGGTCCTGAGTTCAAGCCCCAATACTGGTACACACACGGATCCACGCGCAGACACACAGAGATCAGGAACCAGATCATTTTTTAAAAATTAAGTATTTTTTAAAAATTAAGCAGGTTCCAGTTCCATATGTCAGGTTATGAGTAAGTGCATTTTGATCCACGTTACCCCTCCCATCATTCTCCCTCCATTTCCCCTTCCCACCCCCATCCTCAAGTTACATAATTCAGTTTTTATGTGATGTACATAATGATTTCATTGCTCACCCTGCCCCCCTCCAGTTGTGTGCTCCTCCCCCCTTACTTCCCTAACATATTTCTACTTCCTGGTATTTGTTTTGATAGTATGTTAGTTGTCCAGAGGAGTTACCCTATTGGATTTCTCTCCTGCATGTATCATCCTTTAGTCAGTTTATTTGTGTGCATATGCATAAAACCCTGCGTATGTTATCATGTGTGTTTGTATTTAAATCCAGCTTCCACATATGAGAGAGAATATACACCATTTGTCTCTCTGAGCCTGATTTAATTCATTTAAGATATTTTTTCTAGGTCTATCCATTTCCCTGCAAATGGTATATTATTCTTTCTAACAGGTAAATGAAATTCCATTATGTATATGTACCACATTTTCTTTCTTTCTTTTTTTATTGTGAAAATACCGTACAGAGGGGTTACAATTACATGAGCAAGGTAATGAGTACATTTCTTTTTTTTTTTTTTTGGTCAGTCGTGGGGCTTGTACTCTGGGCCTGGGCGCTGTCCCTCAGCTCTTCAGCTCAAGGCGAGCACTCTACCACTTGAGCTACAGCGCCACTTCCAGTTTTGTGGTGGTTTATTGGAGATAGGAGTCTCATGGTCTCTCTTGCCCAGGCTGGCTTTGAACCACGATCCTCAGATCTCAGCCTCCTGAGTAGCTAGGATTACAGGTGTGAGCCACCAGCGCCCGGCATGAGTACATTTCTTATCAAGCATTGTTGCCTCCTCCTTTGTTTCCCCTTCCCATCCCTTCCCATCCCCCCACCACAATTTTTTCTTTCCTTCCTTCCTTCCTTCTTTCCTTCCTTCCTTCCTTCCTTCCTTTCTTCCTTCCTTCCTTCCTTCCTTTCTTTGCCAGTCCTGAGGCTTGAACTAAGGTCCTGGGCACTGTCCCTGAGCCTCTCTGTGCCCAAGACTAGCACTCTACCACTTGAGCACAGCACCAGTTCTAGCCTTTTCTGTTTATATGGTACTGAGGAATCAAACCCAGGGCTTCATGCATGCTAGGCAAGCACTCTATCATTAAGCCACATTCCCAGTCCCACATTTTCTTTATCCACTCATCCATTGTAGAACATCTGGGCTGTTTCCACAACTAGGCTATTGTGAATAGTGCAGCAGTGAACATGGATGTGCAAGTGTCTTTAGTGTATCCCAACTTGTAATAATCTGGGTATATGATCAAGAGTGGTCATTGTATCATAGGATAGTTCTTGTTTAGTTTTTTGAGGAATCTCCAAACTGCTTTCCGGAGTGGTTGCACTAGTTTACATTCCCACCAACAGTGCAATAGGGTCCAGATTACATGAGAAACTTGATTCTGTGATGGTAATTCTTAAAATGGCAGTGTTATTTGTGTGGTAGCCAAACTTCTTTGTGACAATGATCTGTAGCTCAACTGAGCTCCCGTCATAGCTTTTTGTACTGGTGATGTGACTTTTCCAGGGCACAATGAATGGCCTGTGGACAGCCACTTTGAGTGGACACAGCAACTCTAAGTAGAGGTGTGCTGGGTTTGCTCATGAGCCAGGCCTCAGCCTGGCTCCCTTGAAGCAAAGCATGATGACCCTTAGCCTCTGACAGAAGACGCTGTTCAGGGGTCTGGAGGATGGGTTCTGCATTAGTGTCCGCTTGCCATCCAGAGAATCTATAGACAGACCTCAGACTCTTCTCTGGGCTCTCCCCCTCATCCTGCAGCAGATATAGGGAACCCTGAACACAAGCTTTGGTGGATTTGGCTTGTAGGCTCTCTTAGCCACACATCAGGGAGAAGGAGGCTGTTGAAGTCCAGTATCTGGAGGTAGAAGTCCCGGGTAAGGCTGCTGGTCTGGCCAGGGCAGGGATGGAAGAATCATGTAATCTGTCTAACCCAATTTTCTCATTTGAGAATGGAAGCTGAGACTTTAGATCCCTACCATCAGGCTTAATATAATCCTCCAGAGACATTCAAAACCACAGAACCCTGGCAACCAGAATGTACCCAGTATATATTAGTTCTGCTGTTTGTCTCACCTGAGTCTAGAGTAGACTTCACAGCCAACACTCCGAGGCAGAAGAGACAACTCTCAGAGGTCCCATAGAGGGGGAGTGGGCAAAAAAACCTTCCAAAAAGAAGGGAGCCTGTAGTTGAGGTATCAGTGAACACAGATTATTCTGCATGGCACTGTCTGAAACTGTGTAGCTTTTACTTTCTTTTTAGCACTGCTAATCTGTGCTAGTTGAATGAAAAGTATTCTTTTCAAATAAAAATTGTAACCAGGGACTAGAGGGCTGGGGTTTTTCAGAGGGACTTTTGGCCCTGAACTCACACCCACAAACCTCCTAGGGGATGGACTTTGAATTGTTATTTCCAAATGAGGTTATTAGACACACAGAGTCACCTCTCACCAGACTGGGGAGGGGATCCTCCCCATTAGAAACAAAACAAAACTTTAAACTTGGGTCTCATACCTTCTATATATAGAAAGTAGATCATTATTTCTCATGAAAGAAAAGGTTTTCATGTACATTAAAATGATAACTTGTGCCAGATGAGTGGCCCCTGCTTGTAATCCCAGCTATGTGGTAGATGGAAACAGGAGGATGGAGGTCTGAAGCCAGCCCTGGCAAAAAAAAAAAAAAAAATAGTGAGACCCTCCTCTCCGTGAACAGGCTGCTAGACATGGTTGTACCTGCTTATGATCTCAGCTATATGGGAAACATAGAAAGAGGACCATAGTCTATGAGACCAACCATAGGCAAAAGTAGCAGATCCTCTAGCTAAAAGGGCTTGGGGTGTAGTTCATGTGGTAAGAGTACTTGCTTAGCAAGCACAAGGCTCTGAGTTCAAAAACTATTACTCGGGCTGGGAAGGTGGCTTAGTGGTAGAATGTTTGCCTAGCATGTATGAAGCCCTGGGTTCAATTCCTCAGTACCACATAAACAGAAAAGGCCATAGGTGGCACTGTGGCTCAAGTGTTAGAGGGCTAGCCTTGAGCAAAAGAAGCTCAGGGACAGTGCCCAGGCCCTTAGTTCAAGCCCCAGGACTGGCGGGGAAAAAAAAAAATTAGCTGGGTGCTGGTGGCTCATGCCTGTAATCCTAGCTACTCAGGAGGCTGAGATCTGAGGATCTTGGTCCAAATCCAGCCTGGGAAGGAACATCTGTGAGACTCTTATCTCCAATTAAAGCACCAGAAAACCAGAAGTGGTGCTGTGGCTCAAGTGGTAGAGCACTTGACTTGAGCTGAAGAGCTCAGGGACAGTGCCCAGGTCCAGAGTTAAAACTCCACAACCGACCAAAAACAAAATTACTCAAAGAAAATATCTTACTACTTAAAATGTGTGTGTGTGTGTGTGTGTGTGTGTGTGTGTGTGTGTGTGTGTGTGTGTGTGTGTGTGTGTGTGTGCGCTGGGTACTGGGATTTGAACCCAGGGCTTGTCACTGTCTCAGCATTTTCTGCTCAAGGCTAGCATCTTACCACTTAAGCTATGCCTCCACTTCCAGCTTTTTGCTGGCTAACTGGAGATGAATCTCACCCACATCCCTGCCTGGGCTGACTTCTGATACCCTTAGATATCAGCCTCATGAATAGTTAGGATTATAGGCGCAAGCAACACTGCCCAGCCTGTTGCTATTTTATAAACTCATTTTGTAATTTCTTCATTTATTAAATGTGCTGTATGCCTTAGGAGGTAAAAAGGGGCCGCCCAGGGCTGGGAATGTGGCTTAGTGGTAGAGTGCTTGCCTAGCATGCATGAAGCCCTGGGTTCGATTCCTCAGTACCACATAAGCAGAAGAAGCCATAAGGGGCCCTGTGGCTCAAGTGGTAGAATGCTAGCCTTGAGCACAGAGAGGCTCAGGGACAGAGCTCAGTCCCTGAGTTCAAGGCAAAAATAAAATAAATAGAAAAACAAGGAGCTTCCTAGATCTATTCCAAGCACAATAGGCAGGAGAAATACTCAGGATTGTCATGTAACCCTTGTCAGTCAGCCTACAAGTGCCTCTCTGTGCCCATTTATTAGGGGCAAACTCTGATCTGCAGGTGCATTGTTAAGGTGAAGCTAGCTGTCCTGATCCTTAAATGGTCCCAGAGACCTGGGATCGTGTGCACTCTCCAGTCTGATCTACTCCTGCCTTCTTAGCCACTGCTTGTCTCCCTCCAATTGTGACCTCACATTATTCCAGAATGAGCTTCTTTCTGAGCCCTCTTCCTTCTGGACACGGTCCTGTTAATGGGCTTTGGTCTATAAGTGGGGGTGGCATATGCCAAGCTGGGCCCTGGATAGAGAGAGATATCAGTCTTGAAGCTAGGAATGAATGTCAGCCCAGCCAAGGAGGTCCTTTGGCCATGATCAGCTTGACCCAGCATCCTCTGCCCCCTGGGAGCTCATTAGGTGGGGAGGGAATAATCTAAAGACTAGAGGGTCAGAAATACTGAGTAGCAGGTGTTTTACAAGCAGAAGGTAGAAAGGACTCAGCATTAAAGAAGCTGCCCTTCCACTAAGCTTGAGGACAGCTGTTAAGGTGTGAGATAGGATCCCTGAGTCTTACATCACACCAGACTAGACATAAGGTATGTGGTGACCTCCCCCTCCCCCACCCTGGCCCCTCACTGCTTTCCTCACAATGGGGCTCATTGCTGAGGTGGCAAAGGGCATCCTAGGGGAGGGCGAGGCAGGGGCCTGCTTGCCAGACACCTTCGGGGAGCTTCAAGCATGAGCCATAACACCTGGGCTCCGCCACTCCCAGTGCGCTCTTAGCTCTACCTGCCTGGCGTAGGGTCCTGGAGAACTTCTTGGAGCTCCTCCAGCATCCATCATGCAAGGTGGTGCTGGGGACTGTCCTCTTGCTAGGAGGCGGAGGCCTCATGCTATGGGCCCAGAGGAAGAGGAAAAGGAAGACAGTGTCTGACCCTACCCAAGATGGGTACTCAGACTACCACAACCCCAATGAGAGCTGGATCAAATCTCACTTTAGCCGACTATCTGAAGAGAAGCTGCGCCCTGAGCATTATGCCCCTACTAATGCTGGCAACACCTCTCTCCAGCCCGAGAGTGGGTGTGGGGAGGCCAGCACCAACATTCGCATGGAGACCTTCACTTCTTCTAGGCATGGAGAGGGCAACCCAACGCTGCACCGGGACTCCTTCCACAGCAAGCAGAAGATATGCGGGCCCCTGGTAACCAAAGAGACCCACAAGGAATCAGGGGGGTCCACGTCCACCGATGAGGCCACGTGGGCTGCCGTGGCTGCTTGTGCCAAGGAGATCGACGCCAAGGGGCACCACCTAGCTAACTCCATGCTGCAGCGTGCTCCCAACCAGCACTCGAGCCACATAGAAACCAGAAGCATCAACCCAGAGGAGCTGAAGGCCCTGGAGGAGGTGGAGATAAAGCTGAAAGGGGACTTCCTTACTCAGCGGGAATCCAGCTTAGCCGGTGCCAACCACACACATACCTTCTATAGCCAGGGTCGTCATGGCCACCAGAGCGCCCTGGGCCATACAGGCCACCAGAGCCTCCTGGGTCATCCTGTTTACTCGGGCCATCAGAGTCATCCAGGCTACCTGATTCACCAGGCCCTCCCAGGCCACTCAAGCCACCAGGGCCATTCGGGCCACTCAAGCCACCAGGGTCATTCAGGCTACGTGAGCCATCCGGGCCATCCGAGTCATCATAGCCACCAGAGCCATAGCCTGCCTGGCCGCAGCCACTAGGTCTATGACTCTTGAAGCTACGTAACTACACGCATCCCTTCCCCCAGCAGGTCTGGCCCACAGGACTGTTTCTCTCCTATGGGGAAACCTCTGGGACTCAGGGCAAGAGGCTGCACCCAAATCTCTTCTTCCTCAGGCCCCCCATGACAGGGGTCATGAGTGGGGGTCTACCATCATGTAGCCCCTGCTGGAGGGACAGCTGAGAGGAAGTGAGTCAGCCATGACAGACCCTGGCCCATGAACACCCACCAAGAGAAGACAGACGAGGCAGATCCTAGGAGCAAACAAGAGCCCCACATTGATGCCAAATGCCTGGAATGGAGCCAATAAAGCCTTGCATCCCTCACTCTGAGTCCAGGGCTCTGTGAGCATGGTGGGAAAGGGTCCCTCCCCAGCAGTCCTCCCCACTGAATGGGCTTTAACCTGAACTCTTTTCTCCCCATTAAGTGGGCTTTGGACTAAATTTTTGTGTGTAGGCCAGTACTAAGGCTTGAACTTAAGGTCTCCAGCTCACCCTTATTTGCTTAAAGCTGGTGTTCTACCACTTGGGTGCACCCCTCCACTTCTGGTGGTTAATTACAGATAAGAGTCTCATGAGCTTTTTTCTTTTTTTTTTTTTTGGGGGGGGTCCGTCGTGGGGCTTGAACTCTGGGCCTGGGCGCTGTCCCTCAGCTCTTCCGCTCAAGGCTAGCGCTCTACCACTGGAGCCACAGCGCCACTTCTGGCTTTTTTCTTTTTGCTTATGTGGTGCTGAGGAATCAAACCCAGGGCCTTGAGCATGCAAGGCAAGCGCTCTACCGCTGAGCCACCTTCCCAGCCCTCTCATGAGCTTTTCTGCTCAGGCTGACTTTGAACCACAAACTGATTCTCAGATCTCAGCCTCCTGAGTAGCTAGGATTTACAGGTGTGAGCTACTTGTACCTGGCTAAACTAAGCCTGTCTTAAGACTCTATGAAAAAGCTTCCCTCTGTCTTAGGGACCTCAGATCAACCAGTCTGTAGTCCTTGGGAAGGAGGAAGCATCCAGGCGTCCCCAGGAAGTAGGGACCAAAGAACAGCTTGCAGAAGAGGGTAGGCAAGCCAGAGGACTTCAGGACCCATCCCCTTGCTGCCATCTCAAGTCTGCGGTGTCCACAAAGCAGTTTCCCTGACCCACCTGCTTACAGGGACCCTGTTAGAACTTCAACTCATGTCCACAGCTATAGAGCCGGTATAGTAACACCCTCTTCTGGTTCATGTCACCTATGGTGCCCGGGGCTGGGGTTTCCAAGGCTGCTACTTGTATTACTTCACCACTAGCAGCTTCAAAAGCTCTTTAGTATACACCTTGCTCAGTGTTAAGTCATAGCTCCTTAAGGAAGATGTTTTATCTCCAGTTTGCAAATGAGGTATTTGAAGTTCAGAGAGAAACTTGCCTGGGGTAACCTGGGGTGGGAAGAGATGTTGCTGGGATTCGATCACAGCTTTGTGCCAAGTCCATGGAGGTCCCTGGTCCTTGCCCAACACTGCCTCCCCGACCATCCACATGGCTCTGCTCCTCTCACACAACCCCTCCAGGTCCTGACAGTTCCATCGCGCTCATGCTAGCCTGGCATGCTCCCTGCCTCTTGGATCTCAAAAAGGCATTTTTTTTTTTTTGGAGTGAGAGATGCAACACATGAAGCAAAAGGGAAGGCAGCCACTTCCCTGTGAAGCTTTAGAGAAGTCAACTATGAGACATCGTCTAACACCAACTGACAGAAATTTCTTGCCATGTGGAGCTTGTCTGTGGGCTCTCTCTGTAGGTCTCAAAGTACAAATGATTATAATAGATGGAAAAATCCATAAACACCCTGAACATTGTTGATTGACTTTATAGAGCACAGGTGGAGTATTTTAATTTTTTGAATATTGCTAATAATAATCCCATCAATTTTTATTTATATATATATATATATATATATATATATATATATATATATATATATATATATATATTTTGGGGGGTCTGGTCGTGGGGCCTGAACTCTGGGCCTGGGCGCTGTCCCTCAGCTCTTCAGCTCAAGGCTAGCACTCTACCACTTGAGCCATAGCGCCACTTCCGGCTTTTTTTTTTTTTTTTTTTTTTTGCTTATGTGGTACTGAGGAATCGAACCCAGGGCCTTATGCATGCAAGGCAAGCGCTCTACCACTGAGCCACCTTCCCAGCCCCTTATTTATATATTTAAAGAAGCTCATAGTAAATTTTTAATTGGTCTGGATACTCACGCAGTAAAGTGCTTGTCTGGCAAACATAAGGCTCTACTGCCTTTAATCCTTTACTAAAAGTTCATTGCATACAATTTCAGATTAGCTAATATGTCTGTAATCCTACCTGCTTGGGAAGCTGACACGGGATTGCAGCTTGTGGCAAGCATGTTGCAGGCAGATAGCAGACCAAATGTGTTCCAGCAGGAAGCAAGACCTTATTTCAAAAATAACCAGCATATGCAGAAAGGGAGGGAGGAAGGGTGAACAAATGCAATCATGCTATTCAGTATACATTATGTGGAAAATGACCTAATTACAACATTGGAATCTTTTGTTGTTGTTCTTGTTGTTGTGGGGCTTGAACTCAGGGCCTGGGTGCTGTTCCTGAGCTCTTTTGCTTAAGGCTTTCATTCTACCACTTTGACACACAGCTTCAGTTTTTGAGTGGTTAATTGGAGATAAGAATCTCATGGGGAATTGTGAGCCTCAGATCTCAGCCCTCCTCAGTAGCAAGGATTACAGGAGTTGAGCCACTGGCACTTGACTTTTTTTTTGGCAGTACCTTACCTCTTACAGTACAATGAACAGAACCAACAAATTAACATGGGCACAATATCACTAACTAAAGACTTTTTAATTTGCCAGTTTAAAACTTGTTAAAAATTCCAAAGTTGGGGGCTGGGAAGGTGGCTCAGTGGTAGAGTGCTTGCTTCACATGCATGAGGCCCTGTGTTCCATTCCTCAGCACCATACAAACAGAAAAAGCTGGAAGTGGCACTGTGGCTCAAGTGGTAGCCTTAAGCTGAAGAGCTGAGGGACAGCGGCCAGGCCCAGAGTTCAAGCCCCACAACCAACAAAAATAAATAAATAAATGAAATCCCAAAGTTGGCACCAGATGGGAATCCTTCTCAGGGTACAGCTATGAATGGATCTGACTGCTGGAAGCACTTAGGCTTCAGGGAACAAGATGTGGGAGGTTTTTTTTTTTTTTTTCCAGTACTGAAGTTTGAATTCAGGGCCTGCGCACTGTCCCTTAGCATTTTTTGTTGTTGGTCATAGGGCTTGAACTCTAGGCCTGGGCACTGTCCCTGAGCAATTCAGCTCAAAGTGGTTCATGTTCTACCACTTAAGCTACAGTGCCACTTCCAGTTTTTTGGTGATTAATTGGAGATACAGGTCTCACAGACTTTCCTGCCCGGGCTGGCTTTGAACCACAATCCTCAGATCTCAGCCTCCTGAATAGCTAGGATTACAGGTGTGAGCCACCGGCGCCCAGCTCCCTTAGCTTCTTTGCTCAATGCTGGCCCTGTAGCACTTGGGCCTTAGCTCTACTTCCAACTTTTTAGTGGTAAATTGTTGATAAGAACCTCACCAACTTTCCTGCCCAGGCTGCCTTGGAATTATGATCTTCAGATCTCAGCCTCCTGAGTAGCTAAGAATACAGGACTAAGCTGCCAGTGCCCAGCAAGATATTGTGAGACTTCCCTGTGGCTTCCAGCCTAACGAGAAGTTTAGCCTCAAAGAAAAACCATCCAGGGGCTGGGAAGGTGGCTCAGTGGTAGAGTGCTTGTCTTGCATGCATGAAGCCCTGGGTTCAATTCCTCAGCACCACATAAGCAGAAAAAGCCGGAAGTGGTGCTGTAGCTCAAGTGGTCGAGCGCTAACCTTGAGCTGAAGAGTTTAGGGACAGCGCCCAGGCCCAGAGTTCAGGCCCATGACTGACAAAAAAAACAAACAAACATCCAATAGAGGGCTGGAAGGTAGCTCAGTGGTAGAGCGCTTGCCTTGCATGCCTGAGGCCCTGGGTTCGGTTCCTCAGCACCACATAAGCAAAAAGAAAAAAGCCAGAAGTGGCGCTGTGGCTCAAGTGGTAGAGTGCTAGCCTTGAGCTGAAGAGCTGAGGGACAGCATTCAGGCCCCAAGACCGGACCCCCCAAAAAAAAACAAACAAAAAAAACCCCATCCAATAGAAGCTAAAATCTATTCACCTTAAGATGTTCCTTTAATTTTGAGAAATAAAAGAAGTTAATTATTCAGTGAGCTGGGTCCTGCCAACCCATTGCATGGAGGCCTGCACATGGAGAAGGCTTATGGTATGAGGTTGAGTCTCCATCACACTGTGACCCCTTCAGGGTGACTCACAGGAACAACTTCTCTTGGTCTCAGTGCCAGGAAACTCTGTGTTTCTCTGGGGCAGCTGTTTTGCTTTTATCTTTTGGGTTAGACATATCTGTTAGCTGATCATGTTTCATTGTTAACTTTGACTTCCAGGGAGTTTCCCATCAAACTTATGCCTCATCTCTCACCATTGTATAGCAGGGATTTCATATGCCAATACTGCTTCTGGCTTTCTTTTCCTTCTCCCAAATATCTATTCATTATCCTACTATACTATGCGCTGTATTCATGAATTTCTTCGGGCTTTCTTTGAATGGAATGGAATGGAGAGGAGAAAGAAGGGGAAAAAAAGAGTAGAATGGGAAAACCTGAAAGGAAACCATTTCCCTAACATTCTACTCAGGTTCCACAGAAGAGCATCAGTTCTGCTGGTTGGTCATAGAAATTAAATGTTAGCACATTTAATATGTTAGAAAACTTTCAAATGGTTTATAGGGCAGAAAAATGCAAAATGAAACAATGAGATTACTTTCCACCCAGAAACTTGACAAAAATTGTTTCTGAGGATACCAAGAGCTGGCCTAGGGGAACACAGATGGCCTCAGCTCCTGCTGGGGTGACAGCTCATGAGTTGAAAGTGTGGTACCTGTGAGGGCTCATGATTCAGCAGTTATGTCCCTAATGGCAGACATGATTCAGCAATAATGACCCGAACGACAGGAACTATAGAGGAATTCTTGGCCATATGCAAAGAAAACCATCATCTCAGCTTTGTTTGTAGTAGCAAAGAGAATAAAAAACAAATTGTGGCTTCATCACATAGTCGAATAAGTCAGAGCTATGTGTGTGGCTGCAGACGAGCACGGACATAATGGCAAACCGCAGAAGGTTAGATGAACGATTCAGTCTCTATAAAGTTCAAAATCTCTCATACACACACACACACACACATACAAACACAATTACCAAAACACTTCTTGCTCGTGGATCCATATGTATTTTGAGAGTATATAAAAGCCATATGTGAGAAAAAATAAACATCAAGGCAGGACAGAAAGGCAAGGCTGAAGGTGATCTTGGAGGGTCATTCTGGGCACTGGCACATGAAACATTACTTAACTGCCTATTCTTTTTGGTGCAGCTAAAATGTTTTATTGAAACAGGGGTGGGAACCTGGAGCAGTAGGAAGCAGAGAATATGATGAACATCTGCATCCTTGTGGTTCCTCAGAGTGTGGTAGCCATGGGTCACTGTGATGGGGTCTCTGTTGCAGGCTTTGTGGTCCAGGGCTCCACCGGAGAGTTCCCCTTCCTGACCAGCACTGAGCGCCTGGAGGTGGTGAGCCGCATACGCCAGATCATACCCAAGGACAAGCTTCTGATTGCTGGCTCTGGCTGCGAGTGTGAGGCCACAAAATCCTGGCCCCTGGGCAGGCTGGGCTGTGGGGTCCTGGGTTCAGATTCTATTTGCTCTGTTCCTTGGCTTGCCCCAGAATGATAACCCAGGCCTCTCTTCTTCCTCCTGTTCTTCCTCCCTCCTCCTTCCTGTAGCCACTCAAACTACGGTAGAAATGACTCTGAGCATGGCACAAGTTGGAGCTGATGCTGTCATTGTGGTAACACCTTGCTACTATCGTGGCCGTATGAGCAGCGCTGCCCTTATTCACCACTATACCAAGGTAGGTGGCCTGGGTCAGACCCCTAAGACCTCTTGTCCCAGCCAGAGGCTCTGCTTGGGATGAGGATCCAGAAAAGCTGGGTGTGGAATGGCAAGCCTATATCAGGTGAATGGTTGCTATGGGACACAAGCAGGATGCCAGCATGCATAAGCTGTATGACATTAGGAGACTTACCTATCATTGTGCATGTCCATTTTTTCTCAAGTGAAGGAATAATGCCATTTGCTGAGGCTGTTCAGAGTTAACCAAATGAGATCTGTTATACAAAGGGTTTTGAGATGTGCCTGGCACATGCAAAGCACTCAATAGGCATTTTCCTTTATTTTGTTGGTCATGGTGCTTGAACTCTGGGCCCGGGTGCTGTCCCTGAGCTCTTCAGCTCAAGGCGAGCGCTCTACCACTTGAGCCACAGTGCCACTTCCAGTTTTTCTGGTGTCTCTTTGGAGATAAGAGTCTCACAGACTTTCCTGCCCGGGCTGGCTTTAAACCGTGATCCTTAGATCTCAGTTTCTTTAGTAGCTAAGATTACAGGCATGAGCCACCGGCGCCTGGCTCAGTAGGCGTTTTTCCAATGTTGCTCCTCATAGTTTAGATAGCCCTGTAGTGATGCAGGGCAGGATCCGCTGGGGGCAAATTTCCAGCTCTGGGAGCCTGAGGTGGCTGCCCTCTACCCCTTTTCTCTGTACCCCTCAGGTTGCTGACCTCTCTCCAATCCCTGTGGTGCTCTACAGTGTCCCAGCCAACACAGGTCTGGACCTGCCTGTGGATGCGGTGGTCACATTGTCCCATCACCCAAATATTGTGGGCATGAAGGACAGCGGTGGTGATGTGAGTGATTGCAGCTCCTGGGCCGGGAACCTCCCCTCCTCTGGTTCTACCATATAACCTGCTAACGCCAAGGCAGCTCTGAGACTCAAGACAGTCCTGGGCTTCCGCTTGGGTTCTCTCTACTGGGTGAGCTATCTGAGACTTTATCTCTCTGGGAACTGGGCTGTTCTTTGACTGTGCTTGTCCAGCCTGTCCAGACTGGTGGCTGAGGCTCTGGGCTTCACTCTCACATTGAGTTTGCTTTTGTAGATAACCAGGATTGGGCTGATTATTCACAAGACCAGGAAGCAGGATTTCAAGGTGTTAGCCGGATCTGTTGGATTTCTGCTGGCCAGCTATGCAGTGGGTAGGCCTCTTGCTGCTCTCAAATTGTCCTAGGTGACTAAGATCTACTCAGGCCATAAAGGCCAGATCAGGGTCTACAGAGGTTGGTTTACCAGAAACCAGGCCACCCACCTTGTTTACTTGTCTGAACCCTGGGTACTTGTGAGTGATGCTGTATAGAGCAGGGTGGCTGTATGATTCCTGGCCTTAGGAATATTGTTCTAAGTCCTGCATTCCATGTTTAGGTGACAAATTTAGCTCCTTTAATCTCATCTTGTAAATCATTCTCTGAGGACAGAGATCCTTGGGGCCTCCTCTCTAGACCAGGGGCTATTTTCCTCTCCCCCAGGCTCCAGGCCAGAATGAATTGCTAGACCTACAGGGTTGGGCCAGAGAGCTGCCTCTGTGTGATCAGACCCTTTGCAATCAGGATCTGAGGGATGCCACTGAGATCAACTGTTCTTGCTTCTTTTGGGTCAAGGACTTTGGGTCCAAGTGAGACTGAAGAGGGGAGGGGAGAGGATGAAGGGCAGCTTCCGCTCCTTCCAGCCATAGTCCCACTGAGTTCAGATTTGAGTGATTTTATTGTGTCCCCTGACTCTGCAGACTTTGGCTGTTGCCTAGGTTTTTGTTTTTTAATTTGTATCTCTGCAGACTTTGGCTGTTGCCTAGGTTTTTTTTTTTGTTTAGGTCCAGTCGTGGGCCTGAACTCTGGGCCTGGGCGCTGTCCCTCAGCTCTTCAGCTCAAGGCTAGTCCTCTACCACTTGAGCCACAGCACCACTTCCGGCATTTTTCCCTTTTTGTTTATGTGGTGCTGGAGAATCAAACCCAGGGCCTCATGCATGCAAGGCAAGCGCTCTACCACTGAACCACATTCCCAGCCCCGGTTTTTGTTTTTTAATTTGTATTGGTACTAGATATTGAACTTGGGGCCTAGGCAATAGCCTTTTTTTTGTTGTTTTGTTTTGTTTTTGGGTCGGTTGTGGGCTTGAACTCTGGGCCTGGGCACTGTCCCTCAGCTCTTCAGCTCAAGGCGAGCGCTCTACCACTTGAGCTACAGTGCCACTTCCGGTTTTCTGGTGGTTTATTGGAGATAGGAGTCTCATGGTCTCTCCTGCCCGGGCTGGCTTTGAACCGCAATCCTCAGATCTCAGCCTCCTGAGTAGCTAGGATTACAAGCATGAGCCACCAGCGCCCAGCTAGCCTTAGTTTTTAACTCTCAAGGTTCTACCACTTATATCACTTTGGGCTTTTTTTGTTTGTTAATTAGAGGTAAGAGTCTCAAAGACTTTCCTGCCCTGGATGGCTTAAAACTGTGATCCTCAGATCTCAGCCTTCTGAGTAGCTAGGATTATAAGCATGAGCCCCTGGAGCCTGGCAGTAGGGCTTTCTGAGATCACAGACAAGACATTTGCATCAAATAGATGAGAAGAAAGAGGATTAGAGAGGGTCTGCTGCACGTCCAAGATCGAGCAGCCAAGGGGAGGAAATGCTCAGTCTTCTGGCCTTGCACCCAGAGCTCTTTCCATTCCTCCATCACTACTCTCACCAACAGGTTCAATCCATTAGAAGAATAAGATTTCAAAGAGCACAGACTCCCATCCACTTTTGTCCCTTCCAGAACTGATGCTTCAAGAGGCTGTTGAGGGAATGCTTGGGGGGTGTAGCAGGCAGATGGGACATAGCTCCTGGGAGCTAGGGGTGCAGGGAAGAAATTGTCCTTAAGCTCACCTTCAGGCTCAACCTTCTCTCAGACAGCTCTGAACCATTTTTGACTTGTGAGATTCCCTCTGGAATATACAGGTAGCTTTTCTCTTTGGAAATGGACTCATATGACAGCAATATGGCTGATAGTAATGTAGAAATCTAAATCCTGTGTCCCTAGAATGAAGAGGAGCAGGGAGCAGGGTTTGGGATTCTCTTGAGAAGTCTCTGGTTGATGTACTCCATCTTGCTCTGGATAGGAGCTGTGGGAAATATAGGTGGTCTGGCCAATGTGCTGGGGGCCCAGGTGTGCCAGCTGGAGCGACTCTGCCTCACGGGGCAATGGGAAGCAGCCCAGGAACTGCAACATCGTCTCATTGAGCCCAACACCGCGGTGAGCAAGAGCCAAGGGCAATGGAGTGGGGTGGGGGTGGAGGGCCTGGATCCTAATTGGAGTAGATGCTGGCACAGGGTTCCCACTCAGTTCTTTACCATTCAGAAAGTCCTTTTAGAAAACATTCCAGTGTGGGAACTCCCCGTGCCTCCCCAGAAAATCCTAGCGGCAGACAAAGTTGAACCCTGTTGTTTCTCAAACTACAGAGTATACCAGGATTCCCATAAGGGCTAAAGTCCTAATCCTTTGAATATGCTTTATTCTGAAACAGGATCCCAAGTGGCTATGACAGCAATAATCCTCGGACCATTCTTAGAGATGCACTGACTAGACACAATGTACTGTGGGCCTTTAGATCACCAGCTAGATAAGGGCCAGATCCTGAAAATCAGAATGGTGGAAGAGTTGAAGGGCTATTGATGTTCAGAGACCAAATTTTTCAGGAGAGTTCTGCAGTCAGACCATGTGCCCTAATTCTGTGTTGGGCCAGTCAATGATAAGAACATAACAAGGAATATTTATCAAAATCAAAACCTTCTTGTCAACTGAGGCACATGGGGTGAGAAGGAAGGGAGGGAGAGAGGGAGGGATAGAGATGTTTCTTTGAGACAGGGTCTTATTGTGTGGCCCAAGTTGATCTTGAACTCACCATCCTGTACCTCAGCTCCTGAGTGCTAGGACAGCCTTACTCAGCTATCTATCTTATCTTTCTATCTATCTATCTACCTACCTACCTACCTACCTACCTATCTATCTATCTGGGTGTGCTGGTACTGACACTTGAACTCAGGGCCTGGAAGCTGTCCTTTAGTTTTTTCATTCAAGGCTGGCACTATACCACCTGAGCCACAGCTCCACTTCTGAGATAAGAGTCTCACAGTCTTTCCTCTTTAGGGCTGGCTTCAAACCGTGATCCTCAGATCTCAGCCTCCTGTGTAGCTAGGATTACAGCTAGAATTACAGTAGCTAGGATTGCTACCACCAAAGCCTGGGTTATATCTTTAGTTTTTGAAATATTCTTTACTTTGATCACTGAGCTTTCCATTTCTTCTCTTGAAGTTTTACATGAGACGCAAGTGTCCCCCTGACCCCCTTTGTAGTCCCAGTTGCACAGAGCAAACCTCGAGCAGTGCTTTGTTTGGGTAAAGTGGACTGCCCTCAGAGCTGTGTTAACAGCTGACGAGGAAGGCACAGGCTTCCTGGGTGTGAAGCGTCTCCAGGGATCAACACTATAAACAGGTTGTAAGAAGTTGCTGAAATGAGGAACTTTCAGCTAAGTCCATAGGCATACAAGCTGCCCTGAACATGCCAGACATTCCACTGGGGTAGGGGCTTGGCTTTCCCACTTGCATCCACCTTGAAAGAGAAGGACCTTCTGTCTCATTACCTGTCCTTGCACTAGGAAGGGCAGAAAGAGAAGGTAGAACTTCCAAGGGATTGGTCTAATGTTAGTGGTGTTTTCTCATCTGATCGGTATGATATCTCTACAGGTAGGTGTTTCAGCAGCGTGGGATACCCCTTGGGAGGACAGGAAGTTCAGCTGTCCCAGCTCCCTACTCCATCCTGCCTCCCCTGCAGCCTGTGCCCTCCTTTGCCAGTGCTGGGCACACAGTCAGGAATGCCTGGAACACCTTGCTGCTGCCTGGGTTGTAGGCTCAGATACCCCAAGAGCAGCCTGATGTCACTCTATTGCCCTGTCCTGGTTGAACACAATGTCCTTCCTTTGCCTTCCCACCAGGCTAGCCTCCTGCCCCCAGCTATATTTAGGATTTTCTTTGGTCTTTATCACCAAACTGCCAGTTCTTTTCAGGGGGCTGAAGAGGAAGCAGATCAGGTACTGTTCAGGTCCATTCCCTTTCCTAGGTCTTTCCCAACTACAGAGGTTTTAGGTTAAAAGGCCAAGCTATTGGAACACTGTGGATGGGATCTAGACCTGGGAGAATGGCAGCATACCACCTATGCCAAGAAAAAAAAAGTCCAAACTTGCTAAGATCAAATGTTCTCACAATTGAGCTTATTATTTTTATGAAGTTCGTACTTCTATATTTTGCCTTCCTTCCAAATAGAACTTTATGAAGAAATTATTTCATCCAGGTGCTAGTGGCTCATGCCTGTAATTCCAGTTACTGAGGAGGCTGAGATCTAAAGATCATGATTCAAAGTGAGCCCAGACAGGAAAGTCTGTGAGACTTATTTCCAATAAATTACCAAAAAAAAGCCCTAAGTGGAGCTGTGGCTCATGTAATGGAGTGCTACCCTTAAGCACAAGAAGCTCAAGAACAGTGCCTAGGCCCTGAATTCAAGCCCCGGGACTCACACACACACACACACACACACACACACACACACACACACACACACACACAAATTGTTTGCTTGTGCACATGCACATGCACGCGTGCGTGTGTGCGCTAATTCTGGGGCTTGAACTCAGGGCCTATAGGGGAACCATCCCTGAGTTTTTGTGCTCAAGGCTAGTTCTCTACCGTTAGTGGCTATTTGGTTGTTTATTGGAGATAAGCGTCTTACAACCTTTCCTGCCTGGACTGGTTTTGACCCTTTATAAGATTACAGGTGTGAGCTTTGTTTGGCTTTTTTTGCATAAAGCTAGTACTCTGCCACTTGAGTCACACCTCTACTTTCAGCTTTTATATTGGCTAATTGGAGATAAGAGTCTCATGGACTTTTCTGCCTTGGCCAGCTTTGAAGCATGATCCTCGATCTCAACCTCCTGAGTAGCTAGGATTATATGAGTCCACCAGGGGGCTGGCCATCTACACTCTGATCACCATGAAATACCCAGTAGCTCTAACAAAAGCAAAGAAGCCTGATGTCTCACTTATAGTAGTTGTAATAGTAGTCCCCTCTGGACTTGCTCTGATATTAAGGAAATGATAGTTACACACAAAACTTCTGGGGATAAGGTACATTTAGTTTTTCCTGTAAGAGCTTTAAAATAGGAGGATATAACTGGGAGGCAGTGGTTCATGTTTGTAATTCTAGCTAAGGGGCTTGGAGCCCCTGATGCCAGGGACAGACTAATGGTCTAGGCTGTGCTTCATGCTGTCACAAACTACCATCTTCTTCTTGACTTCCGGCTTGGGAACTGGCTTCAGACTAGTACTCTGCTTTCTGTGATTCCAGCTTGAGGGCTGAAAACTGCTTTCCACCCTGTTAGGGTAAATTTATCTCCTAAACCTAAGGAGTCATCTTCTTCCATCTGAGGTTTTTGTACTTCGGTTTTTACTACCAATATACTTCCTAATCTTTAGTCTGAATTCTCAATATACCCTGGGTGCCACAAATTTGGTAATTCCTTTACTGGGGAAGTAGGGCGGAGGAGTAACAGATATCTGGGCCCCAGGAAGTGTGTATATATCATGAGGTTGTTTTTGCAGTCTCTTCTAACTGATCCTGCTTCTCAGGTAACGAAGCGCTTCGGAATCCCAGGGCTGAAGAAAACCATGGACTGGTTTGGTTACTATGGAGGTCCCTGCCGAGCCCCTTTGCAGGAGCTGAGCCCTGCTGAGGAGGAGGCACTGCGGGTGGACTTCAGCAGCAACGGCTGGCTCTGAGGGAAAGCAGGGCACACCTGGCCTGAGCCATAATAGTCTTGGGTCTAGTGTATAGAAGCGCCGTGTCCCATTTCACCCCTCCAGGTGCCCTTTCAGCAGTCTCCTCTCACAGGCCATAATTTTTCACATATGTAAGATGCTGAATTTTTGTTCTTTTTTTTTCTTGTCATTCATGGGGCTTGAACTCAGGACCTGGGCACTGTCCTTGAGATCTTTTTGCTCAAGGCTAGCACTCTACCACAGCACCACTTCTGCTTTTCTGGTGGTTAACTGGAGATAGTCTCATGGATTTTCCTGCCTGTTCTGGCTTTGAACTGCAATCCTCAGATCTGAGCCTCCTAAGTAGTTAGGATTATAGGCATGACCCACCAGGGATCAGGAAGATGCCAGTTTTCTAGAGACCTGAAGACCAAGAAGTAGTATTCCTTCGTTATCACTTCACTGTGGGTACTCTTCTCCACCCCTAGGCCCATGAACCAGGAGGAGCCTGGGGGGACAATAGGACAGCAAGGAAATTGGTTACTAAAGAATGACTAGTGACAGATTTGCGGCTACACACTTGAGTCTTGCCCACTGTGGCTGGAAGCCAGGCTACTTCTAAGAACCTAAGTTCTAATTCCTACTAGAGGAAGCAGCAGGTTAGGAGACCTGAAAGGGTAGTGCTGCTATGATCTTGAAAAGCCCCCATCCCCAGCTGCTTTCCAACCATAATGACATTCCCTAAATCTACCTTCATTCGCCCCATATTCTTGTCTCTAGCTTTGGTTCCCAGCATGGAGTCTAAGTCCATCCAGTGTCTTGTTGGATTGGTAAATAATGACACCTGGTGGACAGACACCTGGTCTACATTCTAGAAGTCCATTTTGATGGGTCTGGGTCTGAAACACTAGGGAAGGGAACTTGGCCTTAAAGAGTGCCATCTTGGTTGGGAAGGTGGCTCAGTGGTAGAGTGTTTGCCTTGCATGCATGAGGCCCTGAGTTTGACTCCTCAGTACCATATACGCAGAAAATGCCGGAAGTGGCGCTGTGGCTTAAGTAGTAGAGTGCTAGCCTTGAGCTGAAGAGCTGGGGGACAGCACCCAGAGTGCCATCTTTTGCAAGAGTTTTGCTTTTATTATTAAAAACAATCACTCTGTTACTATAATAAAACTTAACAAGTAAAACTAGTATGGTTATGTACTAGGTTTCCTGGACCTTGATCAAGAGCCTTCCTTTTGGAAGGACAAAGGATGAACACATATAGCAGTGGTACTCACTACAAATTATGTTGAAAATGAACAATACAACTTGTGGGTGGGGATAGGAGGGGAAAACTGGGAGAGAGCAAGGGAAAGGTGACACTGTCCAAAACGAAATGTACTCATTACCTGACATACAACTGTAACCTCTGTGTACATCTTTATAATAACAATAAAAAATAATAAAAAGAACCTTCCTCTGAGCAATTTGTGTGTGTGTGTGTGTACTGGGGCTTGAAATAAGGCCTGGATACTGTGTCTTAGCTTTTTTGTTCAAAGCTGGTGCTCTGCCATTTAAGCCACAGCTAGACTTCTAGTTTTCTGGTGGTTAATTGGAGATAAGAGTTTCAGGGACCTTTGAATAGTGATCCTGAGATCCCAAGTAGCCAGGATTCAGGCATAAGCTACCATTGCTGGGCTTTCTTTGGGCAACCAAGCCTGCACAGTCTGCTCTTTCTGTTCTCAGGCCCTTGCGATGCTCAATAGCCATTAGATGGGTAGTGGTCTTTAGGAAAGACTTATAGTTTCATCATTTTGTTTTTCAAAGGTAGTCTTTGGAGTAAAAGAGGGGGATAGGAACACCTGAGTATGGACTCTGGCCTTTGCTACTTCTCATGTAACCCTGCAGGGGGTTACATGGGGTGTGGCAAACTCCAGTCCTGCTGCTTTTTGACCTCTTGAGCCTAGGTCTTGATGTCCTGCTTCTTACTCATAGAACTAGCCAGAGCAGTCCTGACATTCCTCAGGAGTGGGTCTCCTTGAGGTTTTTCGGCTACCTGACCCTGTGCCTCATGGCCACAGTCGCAGGGAAGTGGTGAGGGCCCCATATTGTAGATGATGAGTACTTTACCTTCAAAGCTTCTCTAGTCAGGAGTGAGACTCAGACATTCCAAGCCAAGATCCCTGGCAATCATACAGCATTGAATGGGTCTTTTAATGCTGCAGGTCAGCTGACCCTTGCCACAGCTAGAATGACCACAGAAAGGACTCCAGGAACCTATTCTTTTTAGCACTATTCCAGAAACTCTGAGCTAACTAAACACATTTAGCCAACAGAAAAGACTAGAAATGCAACCCTGAGTTCTAGAATGGGTGAGAAACATGTCAGGTTCTGGAGCCATGAGACCTGGTGCTAAGCAAGCTGCTCACCTTGGAAGAGCTGCTGTGTGTGGCTCCAGACTGCTGGTGTTGGTTCCTTCTTGCATCTCTTCTGTGGCTCTCTGCTGTGTGCTTTCACTCACTCAGATAGTCCTGCTGGTCTAGAACTGAGGGCACTGGCCCAATTTTTTCCTTGTTCTAAGCTGTGAATGAACTTTTTAGGCTTTGTTTTGAGTTGAAAAAAGAGAAGAGCTAGGATGTGGAGAAAATAAAGGGTTTTGTGGGCCCTCCCCCAAAAAATACAGAGGTAGGCTCTGAATATTATGTTTATTCATATTATTGATCTTATATAACCAACCAACCTACCTACCTTCCTTCCTTTTCTCCCTCCCTCCTTCCCTCTTTCTTTCTCTCCTTACCTCCCCCCTCTCCCCTCTCCTTTCCTTCCTTCTTTTTTCTTTTCATTCTTTCATTGTGCTGCCCAGCTGGTCTCAAACTCCTGGGCTCAAGTGATCCTCACACCTAGGGCTATTGAGAGCCAGAGTTATAGGCGCCCACCATTGTGCCAAGGTTAATGTTTTCCAATGGGAGAACACAGAAACAAAAAGGCACAACAGACATTTAGAAACATTTAGCACATGAATCAAAAAGGCTGTTTTTTTTTTTTTAAATGTTCTCTTTTCTGTAGTACTATGTGACCAGTGGCAGAAAAACTAAGATAATTTTTTTCAGTTACTGATTAAAAATAGTAAGTAAAGAGAGATTAGAGAAGACTATAAAAGATAAAAGATAATCTAAACAAGCAAAAAAAACCAGAAACTGGGCCCCCTGGCCCTCACAGGCAGTGTCCAGGGCAGCAGGGCTCAGAGGCAAGTAGACTTAAGGTAAGGGAAAAGTTAGGGCAGGGAAGCAAGCTAATGTACCAGCAAGGAGCTATATCAAGCCTGGAGTTAATTTCCAGGTTTTGCTCCCTAGCATCTATGGGACTTTGGAGAAGTGACTTAACTTCTCTGAACATCATTGTAATATAGGGTAGTCCTTGCGCCTTCCTCCGAGGGCTGTGGTAAGGACCGAGTAGGATCATGCATGTAAATGGGTTCATATGGTGGTGTGTTCCACTATTTTATTGTGGCAGAAAAAGGGAAATCCAGGCAAGAGTTGACTTGTTTGAGGTCACCCAGAAGATCTGGCAATCACTGGCCTCAGGCACTGAGCATTCTGATGCTCACAGTGAGAGAGATCTAGTAGCAAGGGAGTTGGAATCAGAAAGACTAGGATAGAAATCTCAGGCTTGCCATTTATAAGTGTGGATAAATTTAGGCTGCCCAACTTCTTGCAGGGGTCCTGAGAACTAGATGGTATTATGTAGTGAAGAATGCAGTATCAGCTCCAAGCCCCACACTGGTTAACTTTTACAAACAGCAACTGGACTGATATTTATGAGGACACTGGGCAAGAAAACTGCAAACTACGTGCAGGAAGTTTCTGATGATTGTTTATTCCTATAAACATGTGTTTCTACAGTACAATTCAAAGAATAAATAGAGGCACTTGGCTGTAATTTTTACCACAGTCTGCTGTTGAGGGATTTGGTGTGATGACAGGGCTGGTGGTATGTTTGGGTGATGGGCTAACTGGAGGCCTCGTGATGAACTGTGTGGGGATCCTTCCTGCCATGATCTGACCCAGGTCTGAGTGCCAAAGATCTTGGTAGAAGAGTCACAACAAGCCAAATGTGAGGAGCTAATGTTCTGTTAATTCACTCTAGTCCGAGGACAGGTCCAAGTCTACCTGTATCCAAAGGGTTGAGGTGAGTCTGATCTACTTCCCCAATGGGAAAGAACTGTGTCAGTTCAAGCCATCCCTAGGACTCAGAGCTCTATGAGACAGTTCTGCAGTGGACTAGCTAGGTCTTCCCTCTGACCTAGAGTGAGCAATAAATACAAGTTATAAGATTACTTTTACAATATGTTTTTTAATTTCATAAAGGGATCCTATCTGACATTTAAGGAAGGAGAGAGGCACAAGTGGGGATTTGATTATCTACTGTAATTCAAGTAAGGAAGACAGCATGGAAAGTCAAGGGAAAAGAAAGCAGCAATTTTACTGACTCCTTCACAGAGGGAATAAGCAGAGACAAAGATCAGTCTGATCAGACAAAGTGGGAACCTGGAGCTATGACTTGAACAGCAACGATTAAGGAAGTAGTGTATAGGAAAGCTTTAAGCCAGGTGCCAGTGGCTCACACCTGAATCCTAGCTATTCAGGAGGCTGAGATCTGAGGACCATGGTTCAAAGCCAGCCCAGGCAGGAAAGTTCATAAGACTCTTATCTCCAATTAACTTCCAGAAAACCGGAAGTGGTGCCATGGCTCAAAGTGGTAGAATGCCAGCCTTGAGCACAAATGCTTAGGGACAGCACCCAGGCCCTGAATTCAAGCCCCACAAATGACAAAAAAAAAAAAAAAAAAAACCCAAAACCAAACAAACAAAAAGAAAAGCTCTGGCCTTGATTTGCATCTAACTACTGTACTGTCTAAGCCACCCCTATTCTTTTTTCCTTATTTATCTAGGACAACACAAATTACTGGCCCTAAGTTGGCGCTATAGGATTAACTGCCCCAAATGTTGGCAGAATGAAAAGATTCTGTATCACTTGGCAGCAAACGGAGTGAGAGCCACAGCACTTTTGCACTGGGTCCCAAGGCCTTAGGAACAAGGAACAGGAACAAATAAATAATAAAGATGGCTCCTCTGTCCTCTGACACATTCGGTCAGGGAAAGATAGAATTGCTAACAACTGCTTCAGGGTCTTGGTCAAAGTCCTCGGCACTTTCCTGTGACCGAATTCCTGATTGGCAGGTGACAGGCACCTTACAAGCTT